TTATTATTATTATTATTATTATTACTATTATTATTATTACATGTATTATTAGTATTATTATTATTATTATTATTTTTATTATTATTATTAAACCTGTTTATACAACAATTTGAAATACTAACGGCGCAATCATTTCATTAGTGTGAGTACTATTGTGAACAACTTTCATGTTCATACCACTTCTCTATTTCTCTGGTAAGGCGTATATCCACCAAAACACCTTTCTTCAGTGATGGTGTGGGCGGTTTGTCGGTTACGCCATCTACGTAATCAGATAGATGCTGCACAAACTCCAGCGTTTCCTGCAAAGCCAGAAAATGACATTTTATACAATGCCATCAAGAGAAGACTGGCACTCTCAAATTAAATGTTATTTCTCCTTTTTCTTCTCCACATATTTTTTACAGCTAGTAAGTTAGTGTCAAACTTACCGGCGTGTTCTCAAACATATATGGATCATTGAAACAACCAGAACTGAGGAAATAACTGAAGAGAACAAGAAAGCAGACAAACAATCAGAAACAGACAGTTGTGCTTCATTGACATCCTGCAAGATGGGTATCAAACTCCCCAATCAAAGCTCGTAAATAAAATATAACTGACAATTTAACTTGCAGCTAGCAAATGCATGGGAAAACAATTAAAGGACAGCTTAGACCAGTTATTTTAAAAGCTCTATTTTATGAAACAAACGGTAAAGAAAGTGCTAGTAAAGATTTCTTTCACAGTTCAAACAAATACGACAAAATAGTTCGGATGAGCATTGGTGATGTCACCTTGTTGTTAGGAGAATACTTCTCCTTCCTTGGGAACGCCCTGATGGAGAACCGTGGGTTTAAACATAGCTAAAAACTAAGCGGTGCTAGATCAAGAGTCCAACGTTGAGCTTGTTGATACCCATTTGCAAAATGGTACGTAAGCATCTTTGACTGCATTACGTTTATCACTACAAGCTGTGACTTAAAAGCACTTACTTTGAGCGAGAGAGCGTTGCGGGAAATGAAGTATTGCTTAGAAAAGCGATCGGTTTGTCCACAATGATTGAACCAACATCGAGATATTTGACAAAATCGTAGCGGTGATAGAGATCGGGCTGAGGGTATGGCTTGTGACTAACTATTTCCTAGAGAAACGCAAAGATTATGGCACGTAAGCTGTATTGTTAGAAAGAAAGAAAGGGCTAGGCGAGAACACAATACGTGACACGTCTCAAAACAACATTACATTGCCCGTCCACATTACTTCTATTGTTAGGTCTACCGTACACACTAATCCATCACGAAAACGGAGCTTTTCGAAAACGCTCTTCAAACCGGAGGAATTTGAAAACGCCAGCTCTTCGTGTATGTGCAGAAAACATTTGGAAAACGGGGCTTTTTGAAAACGATGACCTCAGGATAAACATGCGATTTCCCTGACCGAGTTTTTTCAAACACAAATCCAAAATGACTGGTGATTGTTGCGTTTTTAAATCCCTCAGGCGTAGTGTGGACGGAAAACATTTGATGCGTTTTCAGAGTAAAACCTCCGTTTTCAAATTCCTCCGGCGTAAAGTGGATGGGTCTTAAGAAAACAGAACTGCTTATTAAACAATGGGACTTGCAAAGTTTTCAGGTAATGCGTCTTAACTCGACAAATGTTTGTGTAAGTCGCGTCTAAAACCCAGTTGAGGATTTGGAATGCACAAATATAGCTAAGACTAAAGCAAATTTTCCTTCAAAACTGATTTCCGAAACAAAGTTTGATAGCCAGTTGTAGGCGGACTGGCTTTACCTTGGTGTCCAGTTCGTTTGACGCTACCACAATACACACAGCAAAGTTTGTGTTGTTTACAGGTTTCCAGGAGTAGGTAAAGTTGGCGGTCACACCACGATAACCTAAACAAATAGAATACGCAAAAACTGTATAAAAAAACGAAAATGTTGAGCAGAAACTAAACTAAAAAAGTCACAGAGGATAAAAGTTGTAAAACAGATTAATGCAAAATTACAGCTATGACGGGATGGTAGGTCTACAAGATATGCAAGAGCCCGCTTAAACCTTTTGTGAAAAACACGCCTTCAAATGCGGTGGACACGTAACCCTTAACACTGGAAAGAATATTTTTGATTTACATATTTTCTCTCCCCTTACCGTGTTGGGTAGGTGGAGGGTTCAGCTAATAAAGAGAAGGGACTTGATTGAAATTTTAGAAGCGAGGGCTGCATTAAAGAAGGGGTGCTTGAAAAAGGTTTTACATTACAATAGATAGATTTTATCATATTCCAGGCAGTATTTAGCTCTTATTAACCGAGCTAAGTCGGTCTGTATGGGAGAATCTTGACCTCGGTCGTGTGTACAGACCTCACTGCGTTCGGTCTGTACACACGACCGAGGTCAAGATTCTCCCATACAGACCGACTTAGCTCGGTTAATAAGATGTTTATTATATGGCAAAGAAGAAAACTTTAATTCGTTTAATGCAACTGGTTTGCGGACATTTTGCTTGCAAACGGAGATGAGCTTAACTTAAACCTGCCGAAATTTGCTTGTCCTCTTTACTTTTTTCTGTCATCAGGCTTTTTGGCACTTCCATAAATGATTGAGAAGAAAATAAAAGAAAACGGTGAANAAATGAAACCGGTCTAGATGCCGGTCTAGATGGGAAAATCTAGACCGCGATCAACATCGATTTCAGCCAATCAAATTCGTGAATTCGTTAGTTCCCAGTCCTTGTGAGACACAGCCATACAATAAATGGATAATAGTATCCAATCTTTTAGCAAATGACACCAGTTTGTTATGTACCGTTAAAGTTCGGGTCTCCTCGGGATAACACGCGCTCGGATCTCAATGTCTTGCTGCCAGTCTCTCTTCTCATCATAGAAGAAAGGATCACTGAAAATCCTGGAAACAAACCAAACAAGGTAAAAATAAATTAATTTGGGACATTTTAGGCCGGTGTAACTCCACAAGATCCACCATGATCCATTTTCAGTTATTTAGTTACCAGAGCAACAAGTCATAGCTTCTACTGCAGACGTATTCAAACGCTATTTTAAATAGCGTTTAAACACTTTCGTCATGACGCGAAAATAAAAATGCAAGTTTTAGTTTTCCAAAGACTGGACATGTTTGCTACCAAGTAAAAGAGTCGAATTTAACAGAAGCAACCTGGAGTGCCTTTTTCCTTGCCGAAAAAAGTGTGATCCTCCCCCGACGGCGAACAAAATAGGTTTGGCCCACCTCAACTAGTAAAAAAGTACTGATGACCCCCCTCCGAAGCCCCGGTCCAAGCCCCCCACCCCACCCCCCGCCTCGCCCCAAAAAACCCGTACCTTCTCCCATAGGAAAACGCAACAACAATCTCTGAATCTTACCTGGGCTTGTTTCCAGGTCACTGATGATGATCACCACAGGCTCTTCCCGAATTGCCTCAGGCTCAGGGAGCTGGGGATGAACCAAGGTTCGACCATTGTCGGTTTCGATCACGAAAGTGTACGACAGTTCCCCAGGACCGAACGACTGCAATGAGAATTCTGTGTTCAATGATTTTACCCAAGATTTGTTTATAATACAGCAAAGCCACAAAGAAGCGACATCTTACCACTGTGTTCTGAAGAAGTTCACTCAACGCAATGTCGATACCAACAACACCAATCAGTGACTAACAAGACATGGGAAAAGGAAACAATTAACCAAGAGTTTTACTCCCAATATCAACGTTAATATTCTCATTTGCGATCGATTTTTTAATTAACCGGGACATCTGTGGCTTTTGATCGTCTTTTGACTTGTACTACCTCATCCTTGCTGTAACAGGGAACTCCAAGAGTCACGTACATTCCTAATCTTTCAGCAAACTGTGGAGACGACAGCTACGGAGAAAGAAAGAAATTCATTACTTACATGACACATACGTCAGAGCTTCTTATCTACGCAGATAAGCTCCACTTGTCAAAAAGAAAAAAAAAGAAAATTCTCGAGCGACTAAACGTCATAATTACCCAGGCAGTGAGGCCTGGATTTAAATTTCGGCTTTCTTTTTTTCCGCGTTCAGTCACACATCGCCGTCTGGTCTCTAAAGCGCATGCGCCACTTGTGGATGCGTACAGCACATGGAATTTACGGAGGTTGTCGTCAAGAAAAGTTAGCACGGAGTCCATGATTTCTAGGGCGATGAAATCACATACAAACGAACACACCGTTCAAGGTAGACCAACACTAAAGGACGTTAAGCGTTTTCGGAACGGGTCGCTG